TGTTAAGCCCATCCGTGTCATTGTGCAAACACCACCACCGTCCGTCTCCAGAAGGCTTCATCTTGCAAACTGAAACGTCGTTCCCATTAAATATTAAGTCTCTCCTTTTCTCTACCCCCGCCTCCAGCAATCTCTCTTCTGCTTCCTGCCTCTATGTGTTTGGCAACTTTAGAATGTAAGAGGCATCATACAGTACCTGCCCTTTTGTGGCAGGTTTATTTCACTAACACAGCCAGGATTTATCTACACTTTATGGATGTATGAAAAGTCCCTTCCTTTTGAAGGATAAATAATATTCTATTGCATATAGTGAATTCTGCTTACCCACTCATACCTTAATAGACATTTGCATTGTTTCTCCCTTCACTGGTGTGAATACCAATTATAGTATTATGAATGAGTTTACAAATACCTTTGGGAGATCCGGCTTTCAATTTTTATGAGTATTTGCCCAGATTTGGAATTGCTGGGTTATAAAAGAGAGTGGCTCAGAAATGAGATATTTGACCTAATGAGGTCACCTCCGGGAACAGAGTCACAGTGAAAAGAAAGATGCCAAAGCCATAAGACATTGGATGTTAGGACACAGGATGAGGCAGCCTTACAGTGGACGTGAGGAGTGTGGTGGGCTGACCACCGCTAGCTGGGCCACCTTCCTGCTCATGGCAACTTCACCTCAGTACTCCTTACTCAGCTCAGGATGCTCCTAGCTGATGTGCACGGGGGCCATAGTGCTGGCCACCCCTGCCTATCTTTCCACCTGCTCCCTGTCCTTCCCCAGGGGTCACAGGGACATGGTCTGAAGAGTCTCCTCCTCTACTGTGCCAATAGCTGCTTCTTGGAGGACACATACTGTCAATGAAGATATCCACACCTCTGCTCCTCCCCTGCACGTACACCTCAGCCCAGGGGGCCCAGCCTCCAACACTGCCCATGCCCCTCTGGACTTTACCTGGCCATCATTTCTAGAGATCCACTGATAATCAGCACAAGGGCAGCCCAGGCTGACACACAGTGGAGAGTTAGTGACTGAAAATGTGACACAAGGGCGCGTGGGAACCGGCATCTCCAGTTTTTGGTGAGACCTTACATTTGTGTGAGCTGGGACGAGCTGGTTTAGAATCCCGGCTGTGTTCAACTCAGCCCACGAGTGACCGTGGAGCCTGGCCTCTGCTTGACAGATGTTCAAGAAAGAATGACAGTGCTCTCGGACTTTCCCAAGGCTTCTGAGATCTGTCCGAAACCTCAGGAAATAAGACGAACACAGACTGTCTCAAAAATGATACGGCCCAGAGATGGGGAGGGGATCAACGGCAGCTTTGGGGATTTGACCATCAGATCATGTCTTATTCTTCCATGCCAATAAAACATGGAGATTCCAGAGCCCGCTCGCCCCAAGGCAGCACACAGCCCATGTGCCCAGCACCCCTGTGACTATGAGGATACTCAGTCGATTCCTACCCAAGCCCAGAGAAGCCGTGGCTCCATCTGCAGGGCCAGTATCAGGTTAGAAATAGAGACCAACTAGCTATTGACTGGCCTACTTTGCTCTATCAATAACTAATTCCTAGCAGGCAGACCAAATTACTAACAAACCAAGTTCCCAGGCCTTGCAGAAGGGGCGCTGATGAATGTGGGGGAGCAGGGACAGGGCAGGCCCTGGGCGATAGAGGGAGCACAGCTGGAGTAAGTCTGAGCAGGAGCAGGTCACCCTTCTGAGATATTCACCAGGGCCACATGCCATGGGACCTCAAGGGGAACGGAGTCCCTTAGGGATCTCTGCCGGCCCTTACACACACAGGCCGTGTCTCCACCACAGGGCAGTTGGTTTTGTTTTCTCTTAGTCTCAAATGAGGTACAATGGGGAAGGGAGAGGAGGGATGGGTGGTAAGGAGGTGGGCACCTAGTGAGCCCCAATACTACGCTGCGAGAGCCTGTGCCCGAGAGGATAAACAGTGGGTAGAGATAAACAGGCTTTGATAACTTGCTTATGGTCAATTAAAAATCCCAATTAACACTTCTGGAAAACAGTTCAATATTTGTCACTGAATACAGGATGAGATGCAGCTGGAGGCAGGCGGGGGAGCAGGCAGCCATCCTCAGGGGACCTTGGGGACTGGGGGAAAGACCCCCTTGGCAAAACCAGTGGCAGACGCTGAGGAGGTGGCTTTTCTGGCTCATTCCTACTTCCAAACAGTTACTCCTGCATCTTCAAAGTCAGGTGGAGCCCACCTCTGCTGTCCACCCCTCCTTCCACCCCTCCTCGTCTGTAACCCGCCGCTGCTTGGGTGACTGCTCCACCTTCCGTCCTGAGTGCCCCAAAGGCACACTTGGGCGTAGTTTGGGAACTTCGTAGCTCCTAAGGCAACCATGCCAAATGTACACCAGGCACATGCTGGCTGCCACTGCGGGCACAGGAACACGTGTGGGAGGTGCTCACAGCTCTTTCTGTGATTTCCACCCCCTTATCTGCCACTGGAGCCTGACTCTCCATTTCTCCCAACACTGGCCAGGCCCTCACTGCCTGCAGTCTGGTTGGCCTCTCTCCTATTCAGCTTCCCAGGAGATCTCGCAGCTGCCCCACTGAGCTTTCTAAAACATGAATGAGACTGTGGGTCCCTGCATAGCACCATACAATAGCCACACTGCTTGCAGGCAAAGTTCAGACTCGAGGCACAGAAAGCCCTTTCCCACCTTGGCTGGTCTCTGTCCTCCTTCCCCGTAATGCTCCACACGCCCCTGCACTGTCCAGTGGCTTCTCCTGGAACTGATGCCTGCCAGAATGTGTTCCCTCTTCTGGGATCAGTTTTCCCCTATCTCATTGCTGGCAAATATCTACCTTCTTAAGAATCTTAAGCTTCAAGCCTCCTCCAGGAAGCCTTCCACGCTCTTCCTGCAGTCTGCTGTAGATTCTCCTTTGCGTGTCCAGTGTGTTTCCTGCTGGCGTTCCACATCACAAGGTTGGTTTAGCATTCCTGGAAAGCCTTTGAAAACAAAGCCTAGGTCTTCTATTACATTTCCTGGCTCCTGCTGTGTTGTAGGTATTCAATATATGTTTGTTGCACGCATGAATAAAACAATATTTAATCTACCTTTTGAGAAATTGTATACTTACTCAATTTTTGATTCCTTTTGAATTTCACTGGTATATCTGATATGTTTTATCTCCGTTTCCATCTATTGAAACATCAACAGTGGTTTTAACTCGTTCCCTTTGTTTGTTTTCCCCCAAAGCTTCTGTCACATCTACATCAACCCCCGAATGATCCAGAGGAAGCCAGTCAGTAAAGAATTCTTGTGGCTCACCCCTGTTGTAAATAGGAGACTTTCTGGAATGCAGATAGTAACCTCCTAATGTGTCTACATGATAAGTCTGAATTTGTAGCTTTCTTAAATTAGTATCACAAACTTGTACTTTCCCTGAAAATGTGGTTGCGGTTTTGGGTCATGCCATCAGGATGCAGATAACGAGATGTGGGCCCTGGTAGACAGCCTAGGTGACCTGTGACCAGGGACAGGCAGGCTGGAGCCCTCAGGGTAACTCCTTGATGCAAATCCCTGATTCTCACATCTTCGATTCTCAATTACTGTGGCTATTCCATCTCAGCGTCATCCAGGCTGCCTGTACCCTTAACCTAAAGGTGGAAGGGGGACCCGGGAAGACATTTTTTGTTCTTTCTCCCATTGGAATTCTTTGGTCTGCTATTCAGAGCTCAGCCCAGTGCACACCACAAGCCCCTGCCTGACAGCTGGATTGTGACCTGGAGACTTTGTTTACTCACCATGTGGCAAATATTGACACTGAAACCAACTGTGTTTCTGTGGTTGCTAGTTTTCTGGTCCCAGGAAACCTTGGTTCCCAAGTGACAAATGGATTTTAGACCCATTAACCCGTCCTGTCATCTAAACTCTGAATGTAAGCTTCCACTTGCTTCTGAGTTTTTCCAAGACCTAAAAGCAAGTTTTCCTTTTTGACCAGCCCAACCTCAGCCAGAATCTGATGTCTTCAAATTACCATACCTCAAGGCAAGACTGTTACCTCCCAAAGACTGTGGGAGCCCTGGGGACAAATGTCTATCTCCAGAGCTGGCTCAGCACTTCAGCCCCAGGAAGCTGGGAAGAGAGATGGATAATGACAATGATATTGAGAATAATAACAGCCACAACTATCACCACCACTTCTCCAGGGACTGCGTGGCCCAACTCTGCACTCCAATGACCTAGCTGGACACTCACAAGTAATATTATCCCACTATGCAGATGAGAAAACTGAGGATTTGGAGAATAAAAAACCTATCTAGGGTCATACAATAGACTGCAAAGTTCCTGCTCCAAACTCCTATGAAGAAAGGAGAAAATGAGAGGATGAGGGAGAAGAAAGAAGAAAGTATGCTAGAAGGAAAAAATGAAACAAAAAAGAAAAGAAAAAGAAAATGAGGAAGCAAAAGAGGGTGGGAAGGAGAGAGCCTGGTCAGAAAGACCTGAAACAAAGCAGCAAGATGATAATAATGAACTACCAAAACAGAAAAAACAAAGGCAAAACCTTAATTATCATTCCTCAGACTTACTCGCAGTAAAGCTCAGAGTACCTGCACATCTGTTCCTTGTCCTCGCTACAAGCCAGCGAGGTGGGTCAGAACATCTGTAGCCCCTAATCTCCTCGCGCCTCCTACCCTCCCCTAACCCACACTCACTTAATGTTTTTATTGTTTTAGATAGATGGCAAAAATTGAAGTTGCAAAGATCCTGTGGTTGGAAGGCTGACATCCATCTCCCCAGCCTGGACCACACGGGTCAATGCAGGCAGACCAGCAGACCGACGGGGAGGACCAGGTGCCACAGGGAGGGGGCCAAGCGTGGCCCCCCTTAGCATTACACTTAGCATTCGCCCCGGTGAGTCGGGCCGGGAGTGCTGGCGATGAGAACATAGGTTCTCTTGTTTTGCTCCAGCCAAAGGGAAAAGGTAGATGTCACACACACCCACACCCCAGGAACAATGCAAGTATTAATAATTGTTTGAATTGTATGCGAGTCTAAGCATATTTCCCCATGGTGCCTCAAAAGCCATTTATTTTGGTACCTCATAGCGGGGATGGAACTCTCCACCGGGGGCCCAGCCGGGCTGCTGGTGACTAACAGAGAGCGCTTCATTCAGAGGAGCTGGAGCAAAGGGTTTCCATTTACCCCGTGTACAGCAGGTGGGTGTTGAACGCACTGAGCTAAGTGGGGCGCTGACAAGGTGCGCCTGTGTGTCAGGATGCGTGTGTGTGTGTGTGTGTGTGTGTGTGGTACACCATTGACTCTGAGTAACCAGTCCTGAGGGAGGGAAGTCTGGGGGGTGTGGAGGGGCGGGGAATGCCTAAACCCCTACAATGCAGAATCTAAAAATAGCATGCATTTGCCTTTGACTTGCAATATATGATTTTCTCTCCAGCAGATTCACCTTACTAATTTTATTTTGCTCAGGCTGCTATTAAAATGAGCTCGCATTCTCAGAGAGCACTCGTAGGGCTCCAGAAGACAGGGTAGAGCCGGGTGATGGGTAAATTCAGTCTGAGAGCTGAAATTTACCTTGGACAATCCTCACTGAAGCCAGTTCAGCCTAGGTATGAATAGTCTTTTAAGACATTGCATCTTTTCCTTTGCTAGAAAGAAGATACTTTCTGCTCCCCAGCAACACAGAAGAGGTTTTGTTTCCTGCTAACACTTCTTCTCAGCCTCGCGCTGACCACAACTAACATGGGCTGCGCGACACACGCCGGTGTTCTCTATGATGGGCGGTTGCCTTTTCTGAGGCTCAGAACCGCTTGGGGAGTGGCCAAGAATGGCTCCCATTATGAGTGGAAAAGCTGACTCGGGAAGACAAATATAGATGAGAATCAGCTTACTTGGTATCTTGCTGTCATTACTTGTGTATCTTGCCATCTTCTTGCCTCTACGCAGAAGGACACCCCAAGAATCTCAAACAGGTGCCTGTCTCTTTCTCCATCCTTCTGCCACCTTCCCACGTCTCCGAATGTTTTGCTGTTCTAGTTAGTGCTCAGGTTTCCAATACTAAATTCCCAAGTGTTCCATGGAGGGAAGACAGGAAGCCAGCTAGGTGATTTGTGCTGTGTCCTGTGCAGAATAACTTGTGCTTATAACTGGGGCTCACTCTCAACCTCTGTCAGTAAATGGGGTAGGCAGAGTGATTTCAGAATGTACGCCCATTCCTCTGAGTCACACCGTTTCTGAGACAGGTGAAAAGGGGAAGGTGTCTTAGTCCAGTGAACTTGACTTCAGGGATTCTCCAGGGAACCCGTCAGCCACCAAGGGCAGCCTCTGTTTTCACACCATGCTGAGTGTCAGCCTGACACCAGCCTCGCCTCCCGGTGGTCCCCTCCAGCCCAGCAGCAGGCTCATCTTTCCCCTCCCAACTTACAGGAGCTGCTTCCACTAATGTGAGGTGTTCCCTAGCTCCCTGGTTTTATTTTTGTTCTGCCCAGGTTTTCATTTGGTTTGTTGACTGGTTATGTCCATTCACCCGCTCTTATTTTATACGAGGAGAATTAGAAGCCTTGGGAAGTGGGACGCTGGAGTTAGATCACTTCTACCTTAGCCATGTCTCTGGGCTGCCCTGTTTCCAGGGAACAAAGCAATCTAGATGCAGTATTTAGTTTAGATAATCCAGCAGGATTAAGGGCTGAGAAAGAGAAGTGTAAAGGCGAAGGCCCAGTGCACCCTGAATCGCTTTATCACATGTGTTCTGGGCCACACACACAGAGTCGTTCTGGTTCACTGCAGGGCAGGAAGGGAGAAGCCACCCAAGGACACATCTGTGCAAATCTCATGTGTCCAGAAAATACCATACAGGTATCCAACATGAACGGAAGAAGGAAGCCCAATGTCTAGCTCCACTTCTGCTACTGGTAGCTTGGGCTAGTCCCTCAGTTCATTTTGTCCCCATTTATCCAAATATCCAAACCACCTGGGGCCTTTATTTTGAAGTGCAGATTCTTAGAGTCTTTATGGAACTATTGACCTGGTCAGGCAGATCATATATAATCTTGGGGAGGTCACTGATCACAAGTTAACAACCTTGGATTAGAACTTTGTTTACTCCTCTGCAAAATGAAAACAACAGACTGAATAGCATTTTAAGCCTCATTACTTGGCAAGGTTGCAGCTCTGGAGTTACATACCTTCATGACCAACTCACACGGGGAAACAGAGCCACGCCAATGGGCCTGGGCTCACATGTGCATATCGGTGCAGACAGATTCCAGCTCCCTCTCGCTCTGAAGATGGTCTGGTATGGTTCCTGTGACAACTGAGTGGGTTTCGTGTTACCTGTAAAAGCCTGTACTTGTGGCAGCCCTTGAGGCAATCCCAGACACGATTGCCCACAGGTAGGTGTTGACCAACAAGTAGATACCTGTGACGGGGGACTCTGTTTAGGAGCGTCACTCCTGGCCCGGGTAATTAAATAAATACTGCCTTTTGGAAATCACAACATGATAGGAAGAAATACGATCAGCTTTCTGGCTCCCAAAGGAAAAAAGATGGAGTCCAAAGTGTTGGGGGTCCTTGTGGCTTTCTCCTCTCTGTTTCTCCATCCTCCCCCTGATGGAGACAAAAACTCCCCATGTCAGCTCACCTATCCCATCCCAGATGTGCTTCCTGAGAACAGAGGCTCCCACTCAGGTACCTAACGTCCCAGCACCTGAGACATTGATGGCGTTTTCATTTTCATAAGGAACACACACTTTCCTAGGAGGGAATTTTCAGGTTCTCTGGAGGCACCATGGGCACGGGGTCAATGACAGAGTTGGCACACTGTGCACCAGTGCACGGGATGGGCTCAGAGAGCAGCTTGGTTCTGCTGGACGCTGGGACAAACCTGAGACCTGTAAGGACATTCAGCTGTCAGATCTGGGCCTCATGCTATGAAGGCATCTAACCTCAATGACTTCCTTACAATCCAGTAACGTGGGATTAGGACCTCCACATACGAATTAGAGAGTGGGTGAGAAATGGAGACAAACTCAGTCCACAAGTAACCAAACAGAGTTTTTATAAACGCTATTCATTTCAATAAACTCTTGGAGAAGTTGATGGTTATATAATGCGATTCCCGCCCAATCCCAAACCCCAGTCTCTGCTTTCTGAGTATTGGCCGTGAGGCGAACTTTCATCCGAGGTGCCCCAATAAGGCAGCGTCTTTAGGGCAACAGGAAAGTCTGATCCATCAGTCTCAGGAAAAAGACAAAACTCCTGGGCACTGGTCCCAACCAGGCCCTTGAGGAAACCAGTGAGCCCTGATGGTGAGTTTAATGTGGGGATGGACCCAGGCAGCAGGAGGAGGACTGGTTCAGAGTCCCCGCCCAGACTGGGCCTTAGTAACACGTGAAGGCTAAATTCCCAGACCTGACCTGGCCCAAGGGATGCAGGGGTTTTGTCCTGCAGACAGATTATGTTCTGATGGCCTTGAATTTTTATTTTACTCTGTTTCCTCTGTACCACCCTGTTATTGTGTGGTAATTTTATCTGTCACATTCCTCTTGGAGTCAGCGTTAAAGATTCTTCCCTGTTCATTGAGATGTCCCTGCTAATCATAAAACTCCATGTTGTAATTTCAGATTAATTAAAGCTGTAAATTGGGGAAGCTAGTGACTGTGACTTATATTTCTCAGTTCTCTGCACCCTCATAAGATCATATTATTTTACAATATTCTCCTTTTCAGAATCATTTTGTCCCCAAAGCTTTCTCTTAGGTAGCAGCCAGATTTCTTTGGACTGCACTGTCTGCCAGGCGTGGCATCCTGGCTGTGAGCCATGGGATAGAATGGACAAATGTCCTAAGTGTACAGCTCCTCTACCCACATATCCAGCATTACTGTTAAGGACTAGAATTAGAGAGGTTGACTACTGATTTCAAGTTTAATCTGTTTCTTTGTGTCTTGATACTCCCATGACTCAGTTTCCTCATCTGTAAAACAGATTTTTATAATGCCTATCTGGTAGGTTATTCTTATTACATGAAATGAGTTATTTAAAATATTTAGAAAATGTCTATATATGGCAAAGGCTTAGTAAATAGCAGCAATTGGACAATGTCTGTTGAGTCTAACACCTGGGTAGGCCCTTGTGGACAATATTGTAGATACAGAAAAATTTCTGTCCCATGCAAGTTGACAATCTGATTAAGGAAATAGAATAGACTCAAAGAGAACATGCTGAGTAACTCTTAATAGCTAAGCTACATGGTACCCCTTATCAATACAGCTGGAGCTGGTTCTCTTCAAAGTTGCATAGATACCACATAAAGCTGGGTAAAGACTGCTGTCCAGCCAGCCCTGCTTCCAGGATGGGAAGATCCTTGGAGAACAATTTCCAGCAGGCCCAGCTTTACTGTTCCCATCTTCTAGAGGAAATCAGGACAATCATGCATCCTTCTAAATGACCCAGGAGGAGCCCTGCGGATGGCATCTGGAACAGGCTTTCTCCTTTGCACATCAAAATCATGGTTATGATTTCTGCTTCATGGCACAGACTGAGCTCAGCCAAGGACAAAGGAAAATGACGTCAAGAAAAGTTAAAGGTTGCTCAGCCTTGGGCTACCCGCTATTCTTTTAAGGAATTAAAACACTAGCCACCCCCTCACAAATGTGCTAACTACTGCTCCATTTTACAGAAGAGAAAACTGAGTGGGGAAGAATACCTTGCTAAAATCCTTGAATGGAATCTGCTGTGTGGCTTAATGAAGGCTCCCAGAATCCCATAGCAAACCCTGGCTCAGGTGACACTTCAGGGCAGGCCCTCCTCCATGACTCCGTCCTTGGTAAAGCAGCTCCTAGAATCAGGCTTAAGAGCCTGCACCTCTGGAGCTTGGCTGTGACTTGCACAGAGGACTTCAGGGATGAACGAGGGGGTTCTTTACTCAAACATCTGTGATTCTGGGCTCAGGAAGAAGATTCAATTCTGACGCTGTTTTTCCCCCCAATTTTGTTCCCATCACCTTAATAATTGCATCTGTGGATTGTTTAATTTCACATTCAAGCCACTTCTGCTCATAACTAGCCTATCATCGGTTAAGAGTAAGATTCATTTCAAATAAGAGGGTTTTTCCCCCATTCCCCCGTCTTTTATTCCCAAACTGAATTTGCATTATAAAAAAATTAAACAAAAGCAGCTTTCTGAATCTCCTCTCATTACTCCCATTACATTTGTTAACATCATTATCCCCGGCTGAAGATGGCAACTATTATCAAATGTTGCAGTGCTTTTGTGGACCTCTTGCTATATTAGTTTAGAAAATTGCTCTAATGCATATGCTTTTAGAGGTTTAAAATCTACCATGGCATTATGAGCTATATAATGCCGTACATTTTAAAATCTAATAGTGCATTTATTTTATTTTATTTTTTGTAAAAAAAAAACATTGCACTGAAATAAAAATGCATGCCTCTGGTAAAGAAGAATACAAATGCAGTTGGGAAAATGCAGAACTGGGCTCCTGACTGGCAGGTCCTCTCCCCTCCCTTCTTCCCCTGGAGAAGAAATCAGTCTTCCTGAAACCCAAACCTGGGGGCATTAAATGGGTGTAATGTGGGGGAAGACAGGGTGGGTTCTGACCGATACAGAGCTGGGGAGGGAATCTGCTCCATCTGGGGTTATAAGCAAAGGCAACTCCAGCTATTCATTAACATAGAAAAGCACAGTTTTGGGAGCAATTACTGAATTTCTATATGCATAGAAACCCAGTTTCCTTGGAAAGAAAGGCTCAGGTTGGAAATTTATGAAGTGCTGGTTTCTTATGGAAATAGGAATTTTTGGTAATTACACACGAGCTGCTCTTTATCTGCTTCTGCATTTTAATGATGGAGAATGGTATTTTGTTATTTCTTT